GTAGCTCTGGCTGTCCTGGAACTCACTCTGTAGACCAGGCTGGCCTCGAACTCAGAAATCCGCCTGCCTCTGCCTCCCAAGTGCTGGGATTAAAGGTGTGCGCCACCACCACCCGGCTTCTCTTTTTACTTTTTTATTTTAATTGTGTCATTAAATAGAGTAGGCTAGATTTGAACTCACTCTATGCTGGAGGTAGGCCTTGAACTTGTGATTCTCCCACCTCAGCCTCCTGAGAGTCTGTAACGACAGGCCGGCTCTCTGAAGCCTGGCAACACTCAGAAGTCATCTCTGGTCCATACAACCTGTTGCTGAGCAGAAGTCAGTGCGTGACTGGAGGCTCTCCCGGGCAGTGCACGGAACGGTTACTTGGTTCTTTTAAAAGCGATACTCGTGGCTGTTAGGAAGAGAATCCTCCGTTTGAACTCAGAAAGCCAAATCCATTGCTGTCCAGGTGCCTCAGACTCAAGCCTAAAGCTGTGCCTGTCAAAGGCAGCCTCACACCAGACGGGGCCCAGGGATTATTTAGTTCCACTCTCCCTATGGTTTTCAAAATACAAAGACATTATCAATAATTTTTTAAAAAGAGAACTTTTTCCTGGAAAAATTCTGACTTGTGGTACACTCAGAGAATCTGCACATCAGGTCTCACACCTTCTCGCTCTGACAACTATTGGCTAAGAGCATGTGTCTAGTGTATGTTTCTTCAGTTAGCCAGAGTCCCCACCATACCCTTCATAGCCAACTGGTGTACCCTGTGTGGCCCTGTCTTTGTTGTGATGTTACCGCCATCTTTAGAGAAGACAAATAAGGAGACATATGGTCTCAGAATACATGTAATAGAAGACAGTCTGGAGGCTATCATGCGGTACTTAGGAGGTTCTTCAGCTGCTGTCTGGTTTTCTATCTAGTCCCTTGCCCTGACTTTCCCCACCTGACCCCCCCCCCAAGCTCTTTCACATTTGATTTCCCTGCATGTGTGCTCTTCAAGGACCTCAGAATATCAAGATCTTCCTTATAGATGCCATTCCTGCTGGAATCTAGATCTGACCTCTCCATCCCTCCCCCTCCCAGGCTCTCGCCATCCCCCATCAGTCCTCATGAAGGACCTTCCTGGATCCCTTTGAGTGGCAGGACTTCCTCTGAGCTTCATCTTCAGACTTGCTCAGACAGTCATCCCTTCACACCAGAACCACCACGAACAGCAAATCTGTGGATTCCCAGGACTCATAGGACCGGCGCACATCCTGCTGTGTGTACCGGTCATCTCTGGATTACTCACAATACCTAACATATAAACACTGTGTGAAGGGCTACACTGTACTGTTTAAGCGAAATTGGCAAGAAGTCTTCAGGGTCTTCTAGGGGAACAGAGTATAAAAGGGGTCACTAGGATGCCTTACAATGTCAGGGCTGTTTCCTGGAGAGGAGGACCTTGTAGTTGCTCAGCCCATGAAGCTGGACACCCCAGTGGTTGTAACTAGAACTGGAGGCCCAAGATATCACTAGAAAGTTCCTAGCATTGTGTCTGTGTTGGAAGGCTAGAGAGGCTGAGGTCTGTGGATGACAGTGGAAGCCAAAATAGAAGCAATCACCCAGCGATAAGCGAACACATGGTTTTTCTCAAATCTCTTTCTATCGGGGCTTCTACTGGCCAAGTTTTTCTCACTTTGGTCAATTCTTTCTAGAAACATTCCCACAGACATGCCCAGAGGCGATCCTGATTCTGGTCAAGTGGACAATTAATACCAGCCACCAAGGGGTCAACCATGTGTTATAGAGTGGGCTCACAGACAATCTTTCATCAGATGCATTTACTGTGCACCTACTGTGTGTCTGTTTTTGAGTCAGAAAGTGGGACATGGCCCTAGGCAAACCAGTCAGTACCACGCCACAGAGCCCATGCTCTTGGTGATTCTATTTACATCTTTTTGGGGACCTACTGTGCGCTGGACTCTGTGCTGAGAGTTGCAGATACAATAAATTCCAAGGTGTGGTGGCTTCCTGAGCAGAGATCAGAGCTCTTGGCTCCTAACAAGGCACTTTTAGTATTACATTGTGAGTTTAAACAATATGGTCTGGAGGCCTGAAGAAAGAGTGAGGTTGAGGATGGAGGACTTCTCAGAGGAAGTGACATTTGGGTTGAGCTTTGAAAGAACTTAACCTAATGCAAAATGAGGCCACTTTGCTGAGAATGGGTGGTGGACCAGGTTGGAAGGAGCTGAGGTGCTCTTAAACCTCTGAAAATATAGAAAAGGGTGAGACCAGCCGCAGTAAGGCCAACCGGGAGGCTGCTGGAAAGGCTCTGGGGAGAGGTGATAAAGCCATCTGCCACCTACTCTGGTTTCAGTGGAGCCTCTGATGCCACAGACCAGCTACAGCCCTGACATCTCGGCAGGACAGGGCCTCGGAACACCCAGCTGCAGAGTGTGTAGCACTCAGACTAGAAATGAACAAACCGACAGCTGCCAGAACAGAGGGAAGACCACACAAAGGCTGGCTACTGACTCTGTTCTCCAACATGTCTGTCTGTGTGTCTGTCTTCTTGCCCTCAGGGAGGCATGTACATTTTCCAGCTTTTTGACTCATACGCCGCCAGTGGCATGTGCTTGCTCTTTGTGGCTATCTTTGAGTGTGTCTGCATCGGCTGGGTGTATGGTAAGTGAAGGCTGGACCGCTGGGGCCTGGTAAGCTGTATCTGGCTCAATACTTTCCCTGGGGACTCAGGTCCCTTCCTACTGTCACAAGATCTTCCTGGCTTTATGCCAGCATAGGATGTTCAGGACCCAGACTCCCTGAAAACTGGCCAATCCTACCCAGAGGCTCAGTTTTTCTCCTTTGTGAAAATTGTGTCCCAGAGCCCCTAGCATGAGCCATGCCCTCATTCATCCCACTTTCTGGTCTTCACATGAACCAGGATGACAGCCGCCATATCCAGAACAAGCAGAGTGTAGCCTTGCAACAATAGCCAGTATTCACAAGCAGCCCAGACAGCCTTCACCCCAGAGCCCCATTTCCTGTGAATCACCAGGCCCTCACCTCACCTTGTCCATTATGTTAACTGGTTTTACATCACTGCAAAAAAAAAAAAAATGGTTGCCATGGGCTATGGAAAAAGTAGAGGGCTAGCAGAACTCATGGTTCTGGAATTCAAGTCCAAGATTGGGTGGTAACCTTGCTTCTGGTCTTGGTGAGGAACTCTCATGCTGAGAGTATTAATGGAGAAAGACATCACATCCCAGCCAGGAACAGAGAGAGGCACCCCCACCACTGACCTAAGGAGCTCTGTAGAGCCCTGCTTCCTGGAGCATAATAAGACTACCTAATAATGTCACCCAAGGGACCCCGCTCTAAATGCAGGCACTCAACACTCAAGCCCAAGCACCCTATGTCCCCTGTAGACCCACATCGCCTCTTCTCTGAGACACATATGCTTGTTTGCTTTCCTCTGGATAGGAAGCAACCGGTTCTATGACAATATTGAGGACATGATTGGTTACCGGCCACTATCACTCATCAAGTGGTGCTGGAAAGTCGTGACTCCTGGGATCTGTGCGGTAAGGCTGGCATAAAGTCACTCCCATCCCCTCACTGACTTGTTCACCAGCCACTCTTCAGCTCCAGCCAGTTCAGCTGAGGCTAGCCCTGAGGAAGGTCATGTCCCCAAGGTCCTTGCCACCTGACACTCTCTAGACCTGATGTCTCAGGTCACACTCTAGGCTTGCTGAGACAAGGCCTCACTCAAGTGTTGAGTGACCCTGAACATGTTTCTTCCCTGTGAGGGCCTTATGTACACCAGCCCGACACTGGTCTACCTCCCTGGAGACCAGGGGTATGTGAACATGGGTGAGGAGATTTTATTACTGAGAAGGTGACAGAGTTGAGGAGAATATCTGTCCCTGGAACTAGGCCACAGACCAACCTTGGTGAGAGGACCATGAACAGAAAAAAATGGCCCCGTTTTTTTTTTGTCGTGTTTTTGGTTTTAGAGGCATCTGAACTTACCTTCCCAATTGAAGGGGTCAGAACAGCAGGTTCGAGATATCCCCAAGACAAACTTTTGAGTGAGCAGAAGTTGAGAAAGAGGATCCTGGGAAAGGGGAGAGATACCACAGCCCTGAAGAGGCCCCAAGGTCCTTAAGAGACTGAGCTCCAAGACCACAGCCCCTGTATTCTGACAGTCAGACTGACTTCCTACCATGGTTCTGCCTCAAGCCCATTGCGGACAGTTGAGGTGCTTGGGCCTTTGAAATAGGGCAGGGGTACCACCAAGAACCTCCTCCACCTGTCTCTCTACAGGGCATCTTCATCTTCTTTCTGGTCAAGTACAAGCCGCTCAAGTACAACAACGTGTACACATATCCTGCTTGGGGCTACGGCATCGGCTGGCTCATGGCTCTGTCTTCCATGCTGTGTATCCCGCTCTGGATCTTCATCAAGCTGTGGAAGACAGAGGGCACCCTGCCCGAGGTGAGAAGTGGGTCGGGGAGGCTGCAGAGGCTGGGTCTGAGCGCCAGGGGGACTGCAGCAGGCTCCTCTTTGGCAGGTGTCCATCCTTAAGCTGTGTCAGAAGCACCTCTGTGAGATTTCTGGATTAAGCCAGATTCTGTGGATTCCACCTCAGCCTCCCACCAGCCAAACAGGTTGAGGGTGGCCCTTAATGGATAGAAGGTAGAAATGGTCTGGGCATTCCTACAGGGAAAGCATTTGAATCAGGATCTGAACTGAGGTGTAGCCAAATGTCATCTCTGACAGGCCACAAGTGCCACCTAAAATGCTTCTTACAGCTCCCTGCCCATGGGGACATGGGCTTCAGCAGAGACAGATGGATGGGGAAGGTCCCTTTTGTTGTTCACAGGAGGTGCTGGTCAAGAGCAGTTGTTTAATTCAGATTGAGACCAAACTGTCCATAGGGGAATTGACCTGGGACTTTAAAACCTCAGCCTCAGGACATCCCAATCAGCCCTCCGGCTGCCTCCTGGTACTTCTAAGCCCCCCCTTTTGTTATCCTAGTGCATAGCCTATCTATCCAGACAGCAGGACTTGTTACAGAGTGAGCTCTGATCTGGCCAGGCCTCAGGCCTCCCTGCTTCTTTGTGATCTACACCTGACAACTCACTCCTGAGCCTGAGGCCCACACAGCCTCTGTCAGACACAGACAGGGTCTAGAGGGAACTGGGAGGTATAAGGACCTTCCCAGCAGAACAGCTCAGAGGAAGAATCATGTTGGAGTTGTAATTGGCCCTTTAGCCCGAGCCTCACAGTAATTCTAGTCAGCAGCTGTGGAAACGAAAGGACCAGGTTTACATTTCTGCTATGTAGGTGATTAAGCAGGGATTTGAACCCAGGCACCTGCCTCCAGAGCCTCTTCTCTAGACCTTGGTCTAAGACAAGAGCCTGGTGCAGGGCCTGGCACACAGGAGCACAGTTAATCAGCTGCCATAAATCTAAATATGAATCCTACCTAGACAGCTTCCACCTGAGAGAAGAGAACCAACCATGTCCATGAGCACTAAGCCACCTCAAATCCTTGCAGCTTCTTTTTTTCATGCTCAGAAGGGGTTTTCTGCATCCTGGTCCCAGGGCACGGCAGACGGTGCTGTGGTGGGGCCCATGCATGAGATGCATTCTAAGAAGTTGAGGCAGTGCATGGCAGCTGAATTAGGGGTGGCAGCTGCCTCTAAGCACAGCTTGAAGAGCTCAGTACAAAGAGCTCCCCCTGCACTGCAATGGTGTGGTGACAAACCCAGGGCAGGGTAGGACTCTGATCAACCAACATTCACATCAGTAGCCCTGGAAGTGCCTTTCCCTCTGGTCAGTGCCTGGCATCCTGGCTCACAGATACAGTGATGCAGCCAAAGGTCAGGAGACTGGCTGGCACAGCTGTTGGGCCACTTCAAAGCTGAGCTGCCCCTGCTGTCAAGGAAGGAATGGAGAGACAGCCCCCTGATTATGACTCTCTAGTCCTGGTTACCCTCCACATCCACGCTGCAGGAGCTAACTGCCTTCATTTCCTTACTTCTCACTTACTGCCAGGAGCAGGGATCTCAGCCATCCCTGTGTCTGGTGGTAGGAAGTCAGGGAGGTAACACCTCACCCAGAACTGAGAAGTAAGGCATTGGCCCCAGTCTGATGGCTCCAAGGAACAGCTGTATGGCTGGGGAGGCAGAACGGGCAGACTTGGCCCCCAGCATCCTTGCTCACACATCTTTCTCCTCCTCTCCAACCATCTAGAAATTACAGAAGTTGACAGTCCCCAGCGCTGATCTGAAAATGAGGGGCAAGCTTGGGGCCAGCCCACGGACGGTGACCGTTAATGACTGTGAGGCCAAGGTCAAGGGCGATGGCACCATCTCTGCCATCACAGAGAAGGAGACGCACTTCTGAGTCACCACCAGCCACTTGGATGCGGCTCCAACCTTTCTTTCCTGCGTGTAAATGAACCCCGAACCTCGTACTTCACCTAATGTTAGGGGCTTGCTCGTCTGCACAGGACTTATTAACAAGTTAACTCCCAGCTGGCCACTGTGTGCCCTGTACCCTCGCCTCACCCCTGTGATCGTGGGCATATCCACCTCATCAAGATAATTCTGTACAGTGACTAGTAGATCCTGGCCTAGGGTGGCTCAGCCTGTGTTTTCTAGAGTCCTTGTATTATACTGTCAACTTTTATGCTGGGGGCAGGTGGAGTGGGGGAGCGGTGCCTGTCTGCCTCTAGCTTTCAGTCATTCCTGGTTTTATCTCTGAACTTCCCTGGCCACCCTCTTCTATGCCCTAGGACAAGCTTGTTTTATTTTGTTTTATTTTGGTCTTCCCCTTTTCTCAGTGACACCTTCCACATGTCAAGGTTGCAAGATAGAAAACAAAGCATCCCACCATCCTCAGGACTCCTGAGTAACCAGGAGTTGCTGATTGTCCCTTCCAGTGACTGCGGCTCCTCATTTCTCTCCCTGGCCCTCAGTTTCTCCATCTTCCAGACTGGGAGGGGATAGATGGAGTCTTCAGAGCAGGAAAGAGTACTTGCCTCACTGCTTTGCAGGGCTGAAGTACCTGCAGAGACTTGTAGACCTCTTCTCTTCTCTGTCCCCTTGGTTACAACCTACCCACCTTGCTTGTCTTAAGTCAAACCTACCACCAACAATGTGGGGAAGTGTGTTTTCCTAACAACTGGAGTTTTAGCTTAACCCTGATCCCTGGAGACTAGTGCACCCCCAGCCCCTGTGGCAGGGGCTCACACCATCTGTCCAGCCTTCTTGGCCACCAGCTCTGTCCCTCCTTCCTAGTAGGGATGCTCAGAAGGTAACCATCTCTTCTTGCAGCTGCCTGGCCAGGATCGATGGCTTAGGATCTATGGCTGCCCCTGCAGGGGCACTACAGTGAGGCCTGGGGCTGGATTCCACCCACAGTCCCTTCCCTGTGCACCCCGCTTTGTCCCTGCCTTGTCCCCTGTCCCCTTTTCTACCTTCCCGCTGATCCCTGCAGATCCTGTGGGCAGACACCTTACTCTGGAGCCATTTCACCTGCCTGTCACCTGGGTCTGAGGAGCCTTCACTTCCATCCCTCAGGCTCTTCCTTGGAAAGGGAGAGCAGACATAGTCCTTAGGGGGAGACCTCTTGCCCCTCCGGCCTGGCTCAGACCTCTTAGGCTGCATCTCTCTTCCTCAGCCGCTTCGTTTTTTGTTTGTTTTTTTTTTTTTGTTTTTTGTTTGTTTTTTTTGTTTGTTTTTTTCAGCTGCTTTGTCAGCCCAGCTATTGGAAGATGGGAAGTGGAAGGAGGGTCATTCTTTCCCTCTTCCTGTAGTTTCCTAGATTTGTCTGCGGAAAGGTGAGATGTCTTCATGGTACGGCTCCAGTGTCCTGTCAGAGACCTGAATGCTCTACTTACCCAGTGCTTCCAGACTCTTAGCTGTCCTGCCCAACTCCCCTCCCACTTAAAGCCTGAGCTGGCTGAGCCAATGCCCAGCACCGTCCCTATCTAACTGGGCACTTGTCCAGGGCACACCGCCCCCAGGTGCTCACACACAGGCCATATACTCCTTCTGGGAAGGCCAGCATCATCCTGAAGATGACCTGTGGGGTTGGTCCTCAATTGCTGTCCCCCCACCACCCCTGAGAAGGGAGGCTGCCCATTGCTGCTATTGCTCCTCACCACCAACTCCCTCATGGACAGATGGACAGACAGATTCCTGATGTCTGTTACCATAGACGCACGTGTTGTACATGTGGCCCTTAACACTTGACACTCTTAACACTACTCATGGGGCTGGGTAGAGGGAGGTTTGTGGTTTGGGGGTTGTTGTTTTTTTTGGGTTCTTTTCTTCTTTTTTTTTTGTAATTTCATACTAGTATTTGGGTAACTGTAGGGAGGAGGGGAGGGTAAGTGGGAGCAAGGGGACATGTCATTGCGACAACTTTTTTGATATTCATTAGAAATGATGCAATGTATCCTTTCTGAAATATTTACAGTATTATTAAAAAATGAAAAGGGTTGGACTGTTTTGCATAACAAACTTTTTATTGGCAACCCAAAGAGCACAAGATTGTCTGTCTGCTCGTTTTTAAAAATTAAAAGATGTGGATCCACTCCCATGTGGCTGTTCCCAGCAAGTGGTCTTCATTGGGTTCTCCTTCTGTCTTTGGGTATCCTCGGGGTATGCCTTCATAACCGTCTTGGCTCTGTAATTAAAGGCTGTGTTCTCCACTCAGCATTACAGATCAAACAACACCGGGAGCTGTGGCATTTCAGGTCCCACCTCCTCCAATGGCTCGTGGGTCCTGTAGTCACTGCACACTGTAGTACATGGTGGCTGCTGCGCAGACACTTCAGGTGAGCAGAATGTTCAGCACATCTCTCTCTTTTATTCTCACAACCACTTGCCCATTTTACAGATAGGGAAAATCAGAGCACAGATAACTCAAGCAATTTGCCTCCCACAGTCACATGGCTTATAAACCGCAGAATTTGCCTCGTCCCTCTTCTTGCTGAGTCAGATGAGCTGCGCTCTCCCTGCTGACAGACTGAATGTTCACTTAATCAGGGGTCAGCAGGAAGGCAGTAAGATGCTGTCATAAAAATGTCTGACTTCTTCCTTCCCAGGAAGCTTGAACTGCAGACTTTTGAACTTACAGGATTTATGAATTTGTCTAGTCCACCCGTAGGCAGCTGTGTGTGCTAGGGACTCCTGCTGGCCAAGTGAGGCTCTGCAACCTAGCTCTGATAGACACTGCTAATAATGGAGTCTGGAAGGGGAGATCTGAAAGTCAAGTCAAAGACCCTCTCAAGAGTTAGTTCTAAAAAGTTTCCCGTGAGTGGAGGGGACCAAGCATCAAAGATCAAGCGATCTTCTGGAGCCTAGTGCCATCAGGTTCTTTCATGCATCCAGTAGGCTGTCTCTAAATACCTACCAGGTTCCATTCCAGGACTTTGGGGTAGGATATAAGGGCAGCCCCCTTTCTTCAATGTTCCCACTCTTAGTCAAAAGAAGCAGTGTCTTCAGCCTTCTTGATGGATGTTGTCTGTGGAAGAGCTGCCTCTGTGGCCTCTCCAGCAGGACTATACTGCTTACTGGGTGAGTCTGCCCGCTTTCCTGGGCCTCACTTCAGTGGTCTGTAATCAGGTAGCAATGATACCCAGGGAGGACATATGACTAGCCCACACTTCTCCAGGGGTCCCATGTAGACCATATCACAGATCCCAGGGTCAACTGTGGGTGTCAGTAGGCTGGCAAGGCATCTTCATGTCACTCGGCACCTAGCAGGAACAGGGATGGGCTCTGAGCCTAACTCAGAGGCTGAGGTATCTTTCTGCTTCCCTGTTGAAAAAGGGTGACTCCACAGGGAATACTGTGGGTATCAACACAGCATCTACCTTCTGTGCACTGGAGACACAGAAGCTGTGGGGTGTAGCCCCATCCCAGGGGGAAACTTGGGGAAAGAAGTCTGTCTCAGCCCCAGCAGAGTGAACTAGTTCTACATGTCCTCCACCTTTCTCTTCTCCCTAGGCACTCTACAGAGAGCATAACACCCACTCACCAGGATGAGGGCTGTCCACTTTACTCAGTCTGCTGATTAACATGCTAACTTCATCCTACAATGACCCTCCCCCCCTGCCCCCAACCCACAGGCAAGCCCTGTTTCACCAGCTACCTGGGTACCTCCTTAGCCCAGACAAGCTCACACGTGAAGTTGACCTTTGGGAGCTCAGAGAGGCAGCCACCAGCACCAGTGGGTCACCCAAGAGCATGTAATCTGAAATTACAGATGGTGGGGTTTCTGTAGGGAAGACCTTAAAAGCCACCTGGAAACATGATGCAGCTCTCGAGGGTTCCACATTCCTCCGAATGATGGAAGGCCACTAGAACTCATTCAGAGGGATGGAGACATTGAAGACTTCCAAGAGGAATTGACTGTGGGAGACACACCCTCCCCCGCAGGACCTGAAAAGAGACAACAGAGGTTCCTGGTGGATGGTTGAATCATTGAGCCATCAGTGAGGGAGAGAGCGTTGGGAGTTAGGATGGACAATTGACAAGAGCCCGAGGGAGGGGCAGGGGCTCTGGGAATAGGAGAGGCTGGGGACCAGCAGAGTTTAAGAAATCAGGGTTCAGGGACATTACTGGGGACCATTTGTAGCCACCAATAGGCCTACAGGAGGACATGGGTTGACTTTCAAGGAATACATTGCAGGATGTGGCCTTAAGGAAGGGAGGAATGAGGAAACCCCTCCCATCCCTTATCTGGGCCTTAGACCAGCAGGTAGCAGCAAAAGAGGTCACCAGGAGGCACTGTTGCTAACCTCAGGCCATAGAGGTGGGACCTGGATCAGGGACCTGAGCAGGAGACTTAGGGGTGAGGGGTGGAGGTTGTCCCAAGGTCTTATCTAGGTTCCCAGCTGAAGAAACAGAAAGGCTACCCTTGACAAAAAAAAGTATAATTCTTCCTCCCCTGCTTCATCCCCAACTTGACAGCAGACACCCTCTCCTCTAGCTGTGACCTTGGGCAAATGGCTTCACTTGTCTGATTCAGTCTTTTTGACTACACAAAAGAGCTAAGTGCAGGTATCTGACCCACCTGTGGGTCTGTTCACACTGCACCACACTATCCTGGCTTCACACCTGCTGGCCAGCCCTGAGCCATCTGCTGTGGAGTCAGACTCCCATCCCATCTGGACAAGGAAGTCCACAGGAGAGCCACAGAGAACAGGACTCGGATTGGGAGTGAGGCACAATACCAACTTAGAGATGATGAAAATTTCTGGGGAGAAGATTTAGGCCAATTTCCCTCTCTTTTTTATTTTTCTTTTCTGTACCATCTAATTATTTTTTTCCTAAACAAAACGGGTCTATTGCTTTTTTTATCCCAAAACACAAAATCAATGACGCTATTTTTAAAAATCCTCCCTAGGCCACTGAGAAGTTGGTTACAAA